CACACAATCCAAGTGGAAAATCCTAAGAATGTTTCAAAACATAATAAATATTATTTAAAAAACATATTGTAAAAAGAAAAAAAGAAACACTAAAGACCAGGGAGATTTTCACCCAACATCAGAGGTGAGGAAAGACTGGTCTTCCAGATGTTGGTAATGGGGGGAAAAAAAAACCCTATTAAAAAAACATGTCATTTGGTTCAAGCATAGGAACAGACAGAAATGCAGTGCATCAGAATAGAAAACTGAGCAATGGACCCAGATTTATGAAAGGGTTTAACTTTTCACATTGGTAGTAAAAGATTATTCAACAAATAGTGTTGGAAAAACTGGCTAAAAACTTGGAGGAAAAAAGATTCATCTTGGCCTTATACTGTGAATCAGGATAAATTCTGGAAGAAGTAATGATCTACATGTAAAAAAAAATTACAGAAAATACTCTAAGCAAAGGTAGTCATAAAAAGAACAGTAACAGCTCAATCACAATTATGAATACTGGTTCTAAATATCTGAATAAAATGTAGAAATAGAATTTAGTTCTACTTTAAAAATAATATATTACAACCAAGTATAAGAATAAATGCAAGAATGATCCAATGTTAAAAATCTTTTTAATGCACTTCACTATATAAGTAGGTTAAAGAAAAACTACGATCATCTCAATAGATGCCAATAATGCACTTGATTAAATTTAATATATATTCCTGATTTATTTTAAAGTAAGAGTTGGACTTCCTTGACATGATCTCATTTCCAATGATGATACATTTAAAGTATTTCAATTAAGATCAAGAAAAGGCATCCAAGGAGTTTTTAGGGAATTGTATGCAGTAATTAACAGTAAAATAATTAATTCTAATAGTACTTAAGTTAACATTTTTATCCTTTATTATGCTAGTGAAGAAACCTAAAAATTTTGTTACAATTTGTCAGTTGCTTTGCAAACTGATGAAACTAAGAAATCTTGTAAGGACATGATGTAATGCAAAGCATGTGAGTAGGGCCAAATCTAGAATCCAGAATCCGAATACTAGTTCTGCCATTTTTATTATTTGACCATAGCAAGTTATCTAAATTCTCTAAATCTCAGTGTCATTACCTGTAAGGTTAAGGTAACTGCAGGTAAGATGGAGTAAACCTGCCACTGGTTATCTCTCCTACTGATTGTAACAAAACTGAACAAAATAAAAAAGCAAACACATGAGGACTCTGAAAAGTAAACAAAGAGGGTGGATTGAGGAAGGCAGTTAAAAGCTGGAGAAACAACCCTCACAGAGATAAATTCAAAATTTGTTTTCCGCTTTTCTCTCATGTCATTAACCCAAGTGTGGGTCTCTGTACATGGCAGTGGCCTGGGATGTTACCTAAAAAGCTCAGAATGCCCCTATATTTCTGGCCTCTGATAAGAGAGGGACCCTGTGGTGCAAAGAATGTGGAGGGAATCTCCATTTTTATTGCTCTTTTATGACTCCTGGTTTTGTCCCAAGGGTGGCCCTAGTAGAGAACTACATGCAGCAATGCGATGCCAGAACTCCAGGAGAAACCCCATTTTTCTTGTTAGAGGACTTGGGGAGTGGGGCTTCAGTGGGTAAGATAGTGCCGGGGAGTCCTGGAGAGGAGACAGGTGGAGAAACCTTTTAATTCTGTGTATGAAGCTGTGTAAGTCTCAGGTTCATTTCTGAACTGCACATTGGGAGGGCAGTCCCAATGGAGTTTGACAAAGCCTTTGAACATGAAACAGACAAACAAAATAACCCACCATCCACAGAAGAAGGCATAGAACTTGTGCTCTGGACCTAGCCAGGGTGATTTCTTACTAATGCAAACAGAAAAAAAAATCAACATTCTCCAGAGGATTTGAATATTATTCAGAGTCTAAACAACATAATATTACAAATTTCTAGGATATAATCTAAAATTACTCAACATACAAAGCACCTAGAATATGTGACTAATTCTTAAGAGAGAAGACAATTAAGATGGCAATTCTGAGCTGTTGGAATTAACAAACTAACAACTTAAGCAGTTATACTAACCATGTTGTATGAGGTAAATATAAACACACTTGAAATAAACAGAAATTTAAAGTTCTCAGCAGAGAAATAAAAAATTTAAACGGAACAGGGGAAGGGGGCAGGGGAAAGTCGTGGTGGGAAGGTGGAGACAAATGTATTTAAACAATTAAAAAAATAAAAAATATATTAAAACAGAATTTAAACAGAACCAAATAAACATTTTAGGACTAGAAAACATGGTATCTGCAATGAAAAAAAAAAAAATGCATGAGCACAATGGTAGACTGAGGATGACAGAAGAGAGAGTCAGTGGACATGAAGACACAAAGGAAGAGCAGAAAGAAGAAAGATTGCAGAAGGACTGAATAGGGACATGTAGAATAATATCAGAAGGTCTAACAATTGGGTCATTGGAGTCCCAGAAAGAGAGAAAATGACTAGTGCAGAAAAAATATGCCCACAAATTCCCCAAATTTGATGAAAGACATAAATCTATAGATTCAAGAAGCTCAACAGAGCCAAAATAGGATAAACTCAAACAAAACTATACCCAGATACATAATAATCAGATTGCTGACAGTTAAAGGTAAAAATAAATCTTGAAAGCTGTGAGTGAAAAATGGCATATTACATATAAGACAATGAATCAAATGACCACAGAAACCACATTGGAAATTGAATAATGGTTACATAGGAATAGATAAAAAATAATAAAGTTTAGTAGATAAAAGGCACAAATAATAGTTATGATTCTAATAGTAAATCTACATTTTGGCACATCATATTTATATTCCTTTTTATTTCTTCACCCTTCCCATGGTTTCCCCTATGTGATTTGATCCCAAGAATTGGATGCAAATATACCTTTGATGTTATTTCCTGTGATTTACCCCAAATCTTTTGCTCTTGTTGAAATGAGTCTCTGCTAATTCATGTCTTCTTCTTAAACAAGTTTTAAAAACTCTTATATGTTTCCTCAATTATTACATATAATATCGCATCTTTTATGGTCATATAGGGAGATTGTAAAGATCAAAAGAGATATAGAGGAAAATATACAAATTCCTGTGACCAACTAAAACACTGAAAGCCATATATTTCAGGAACAGCACCAGCTTTAAAGTTCTGAAAACCTCATTCTCTTTGCCAATCTCATGAGAAAGTATTTTGGGGGGAGATGGCTTGCCCACATCTCCACACAGGCTGATAAGGTTGGGGGAGCATCAGTAAACCAAGTCATACTTTGTTAGCTGACCTACAGTTTAGGCCAAGCAGTTGCCACATGAAAGCTTTATAGCCTTTAAGAAAGCATTTCTGGCTATTGTTTGCTACATTATCAGCCCTTAAATATTAAATGCTGCTTATAGCAAACAGGAGATTCTAATGAAGTTAAGGCACAAAAAATTATATTGAATGTAGGATTCAGGTGAGTAATTTGAACTAGCATAACCCAGATGGGTCAGAAAATCTAAGTGTTCCATTAGTGTTTACAAATCTGTGCCACTCCATCTGCCCTCCCTAACTTCCCAGAGGCTGTGAGCAGTAGCACACAGAATACCCACCAGGGATGTGATGTGTGAACTTGGTCTCTTGGCCAAACTCTTAGGCATGGAGTGAGTGGAATCATCATGAGGCAGCCTTGAGTTGTAGGAAAATGTGAAGAATAGGTAAGAGGGAAGTTTTCTCTGAATGAAAGACATCCCGACATAAAGGATGCCATCATTCAAAGGCTGAGAAAGATTAGGAGTCTTGAATATAGCACACAGGCTAGAAACACTTTGTCAGACCTTCTTAAACTCCTTGGCCATTATTTTTTTAAAAAAGGTCACACAGTTTTCTTGGGCCCTATGATCCTGTTTATTAACATAAGGCAGCAAAATAGAGTGGGGCCCATGTCTAGTGTGGGTTCTGTTTGGCATCCTTAGGAACATGATATGGCCTCAGTTTCTCCTTCAGTTAACAAGGAATAGGAAATTCCTGGTTTTAGAGTAGCATCTCCGCGCCTCTCATATGGCATGCATGCATAGAATGCTGCTGAATGAGAAACAGGGTTTGAAGACATCTAAGTGGTATGGGTTACTCTTTTCATTACAGGTGGAAAACGCAGACATGGAGAGAAATGGGGAGTAGCTCCAGTTTGCTGCATCGGTGCAAATCCATCCTGTTAGTCCCATTTTAGTTTTAGAAGAATGTTATAGAATAAAGTCTTCCTGCCCTTCCTACACTTACCCTCCTCCTTTCCTTTTACCAACATGTCCATACATAAGTCCCACATCTGTCCCCCATGGTGCTTCTCTCATGGGGACCATATCACCTCATGAAAAGTAGACAAAGTGTCCTTAACTCAAAACTGTCATCTCCACTCTCAACATATCACCCTAACTATGAATAAATGACAATGTCTCTGTTATTGCTAGTTTTCATCTGCAGGTGGTAAAACCCAAAACAGTATTTTTGTTAAGCTAGGTTTATCTAATCCTTTTATGTCAACAACATTTTTCCACACCTGATTCAAATTTCCCTTTATTTTGTGGTATCATAAACCCTCCCTTTCTATTCCCTGCTTAGTAATTATGTATGACAATATTTCAAGTTTTTACTTCTCTCACAGTGTGCTTATTATACGTCTAAACCCTTAACCCACAAAATAAATCTAATTTAAATAAAAGAAAATACAGTCCCCCAAGAATTTGGTTTGCTAACGTTTTGCTCCAAGTTAGCAGACCAAGTCACCAATCAAGTGTAAGATTTACCTTAATGTGATTTAGCCATTTATAAAATTTCACCAACATCAGGAAATTCTATCAAAACCATTGCAGAGTAAATTAACAGATGGGTCAATGTGCAAGGTTCCAGGCTTAAGTGAAAATAGAAAACTATTAGATTAAAATGACTGACAGGTCAAGGTTGGCAGCAAGGTGGAAATATGAGAACTATTCAAAAAAAGATGGGCATTTTTATGACTGGAACAGGGAGCACCCTTACCTGTCTTCTGTTAGCTTCATTAGGGTTGTTCCTCGAGTAGAGAAGACAATAAAGGACATTCTTAGCTGTGGGCTGGAAAGGAAAAGAAATTCCATTAGGGCAGACAGGAAGGCTGTGGAATGCCCTTCTCTTCCAGGCTTCCTCCCTGCCCTTCCCTTTACATCACTGCCGCCAAAACTGAGGAACTACAACCCAAGAGGCTTCCACAGTTAGTGTTGTAAGTATTTAGCCAGCAGCAATCTTGAAGCTATGGACCAGGAAGAAGACCCTTGTCGTCTGCTGGGAGGCTGCTTCTGATTTGACACCACCACTCAGTGAGCGCAATTATAAGGAAGATAAAATTCTTCATTGCCTGTGCTCTGAAGAAGTGTGTCCCTAGAAGAGGAGGGGCCTACATGGTGTCTCTAAAAAGGGGATGCTGACAGACAAAATTTGATAGTGTCTCCATAGTCAGCTGGTATGCCCTATAAAGAAGAGAGTGTCTCGGACTGTTGTAGCTTGATGCCATCAGCCATTAAGATCATACATGAAGTCCTTTTGCTCTGAAAGTAGGATCACCATTGGCTTTTAATTTCTACTTGGCTTCCCAAGGAGGTTATCCTATAAAGAGAATGTGCTGATGGGTCATAAGAGTATCTATTCCACTTGGTAGTTATACTTCTCATTATTAATGAATAGATTGACATGGTTTGTATGTGGCTGTACTTAGGAGCTTTGTCAATGTAGAATCCATGCTCTGGGTGTCATGACAACTCTCAGCTAGGGACCAAACATGCTTCTCTGTCTGCAGGACGAACTGTGAGATTGCAGTGGATTCACCGGTAGAACACCATCCTGTGGGCCTCTCTCTGGGTGGGTATGTGGCTCACCCACCAGAGCACGGACCCATTCCTTCACAATGCAATAAACTCCCAAACCTGATCTGGCCCCAACTCTTGTAGTTCCTACTTCCTAAACATTTCTCAAACCTGTCCCTCTTTTCCATTTCCTAGCTTAGGAACTGGCCCTCAATTATCTGACCAATTATTGCCTAGGGTTGACCTTGTCTATCATCATTCCTTGTTCCACTGCTTCTAGAATTATTTTCCTAAAATCTAAATTAGATCATGTCAATCATTTGCAATAAAATCTCTAATGGCTCTTACTGCCTGCAGGATAAAGTCTACATTCATCGCCATACTTGTATGCTTGAAACATCTTTGGAAACCCTTAACAATGGTACTTAATGCTTGGTAAGAGCCCAAGCAATACCTGATGCGCTGAATATTGATCTCTTGAAACAGACTTGAGTTCTCTGTACATGACATCACACTGCCTCTTACTACCTCACCAGTGCTGGCCCAGCAGGATATCATATCCTAAATAACAACAATAACAATCATACCAACTACAGCCACACTTATCAAGTGCTTACTATGTGCCAGGCACTATTGTGATTTGCCTGTATTATCTCACTAAACTTAAAACAATTTTATGAGATCAATACTATTATTATTCTTATTTTCCACAAAAGAAAATTGAGACCCTGAAGGATAAAGGTCACACAGAGGAAGAGTGGTGGATCTGGGGCTTAAAACCACACATTCTGATCCTAGAACTTGGGCACTTAACCACCACAGTATACTCCCTCCCTTCTATAGAGTTCAGCTCTAGAAAGAATACATTTTAGCCCTGGCCAGTGTGGCTCAGTTGGTTGAGCATCATTCTGCAAAGTGAAAGGTCACCAGTTTGATTCCCAGTCAGGGCACATCCCTAGGTTGTGGTTTGGTCCTTGGGCCATACACATACGGAAGGCAACCAATCAATGTTTCTCTCTCCCTCTCTTTCTCCCTCCCTTCCTGCTCCCTCTCTCTCTCTCTTAAAAAAAAAAAAAGAGGAAAAAGAAAATACATTTTAAATGTGAGACATGTAGGTCTCTTAAGAGGCATTTGGTATATGAGTCTGGGCTAGAGACATAATTTGGGAGTTGTGAGTAAAAGTGTTCAAAGAACACATCAGCAGCAAGAAGGGGTGAGAGCCAACACATTTAAAACCAGCACCAGCATTTAAAGGCCTGGCTCTGGTCAGTGAGATGAAAGGAGAGCCAGAAGCCTGAGGAGGAGAGAATTTCAAGGAAAGGTAAGTCTGATCAAATGGAGCTCCTCTGTCCAGCAAAAGAAGCGCTGAAAGGTGCCCACTGGCTTTGTCCTCTAGGACGTCACTTAGTGACTTGCGTGAGAGCAAGCAGGTAGAGGCAGTCAGGTGGCAGTGGGTTAAGTGGGAATAAGAAGTACGAATGTAGAGACAGCAAGTGTCTAAGGATATTTGAGTAAGAAACCAGTAAAGAAATAGCTTATATCTACAGGAAGACATGATCAACAACTTTGTCGTTTCTCTTTTTTAGACAAGGGGCAGGAGAGATTAGTTTTTGTATATCAATAGTGGAACTGGAGACAGAAAAAAATGGTGGAGAAAATACAAGAAAGAAATGAAGACCTGGAGAAGATTGGAAGCAACGGGATAAAATGGACTAAAATGCAGAGATTGGTCTGAAACAGGGAGGACACTGGAATCTCAGAAACTATGGGAAGGATACACATGCATCTTTTAAGAGCAGGATTGGAACTAGAGATAATCACTTGTCTGCTATTCTCTAGGTTCTTGATGAAAGAGGAGGTGAGGTTCCTCGCTGAGAGTGATGGGTATGAGGTGTAGGTTGGAAGCTGAAAGAAAATGGTGAAGAGTTAGACTCACCATCAGGAAAATGGGAAGGGGTCAGAATAAAGGCAAATAATGGGACTTGAAATTCCAAGAATCCCACTGAAATTAGAAATTCTGTATCTGCACTAATCATTGCAGTCATTGTTATTGAATAAACTTCCCTCTGCTGTATCAGCTGCCTATTTATTAAAATGAATAAGTAAAAACTATTCATTCTTTTAAAAAATTTATTCACTTATTCAAAATTATTGGCTGATTATATACTATGTGTCAGGCACTGTTACAGGCACTTGGCTACAACTATCCATAAAATACAGTCCCTCATTCTTGGAGTTTGCATGACTGTCATGTCTTGGTGCCACACTCTGAGGGGGTCCAAAGAGGACAGAGTAGATAATCAGAGAAAAACGCCCTGTGGTCTGGGTTAAGCCATCTCAACTTACACCTATCCTCAGTCTCTTCGTAAAACGAGAGGTGGATTAAGTAGTCTCCTAGGTCCTCAAATCCCTACCTTTAACTTTCTTTGATTCTAAGATATCAACGTGTCTGAAATTGCGGAAGGAACTGGGAAAGACAAGCGTCGTCGAGTGCTCTCTCTAAATCAGGTGCTGGGCTAGTTGTTTGCACATGTTTTCTCTCATAATTTTTACATGCAAACGGGGGTTCAGCTAAGGTAAGTTAATTACTGTGGTTGCACAATGGAGCTTAGATTCAAATCCACATCTGCCAGACTTCAAAGCTTTTCCCAGGAGATGCTTATGCTTCAGGGGAACAGAAGACTAGGAGAGCAGAGAACATAGCAGATACTGTGAAGTGCCTAAAGGCAGATTTGTTTTATATAACTCCAAAGAATCAATGAATAAAAGTGCAGGACAGGATATTTTGGCTCAATGACAGCAAGACTTTTCTGGAAACTGGAACTGTCCCACTGTTAACTATTTGCCTCAAAAGGCAGCAGTTTCTCATGAAAGCTATTCAAGTAAAAGTGAATGCTTCCTTGGATAGATAGCTTGGGAGGTCGGTTCTTTCAATTCTAAGCTACTATGATTCCCTTAAATATTTTGCTCTTAATAGCATCCAAGTATCTGCTTCCTTCCTTCCTCTCTACTTTCCCCCATTTTCCTTTCTCCTCTCAGCATCTGTTTTTCTCATTCATCTGGGTTTAGATGCTTCCTGCTGCAGCTTCTAGGTTTGCTATTACAGAGAGGACATGTACCTCCAATCAGACAGGTGGGTACATGTTGAGAGCAGTGAATTTGGAGGGAACATGTTGGTCATTGCTCTGGTCTCAGAGCAGAATCTGTCTTCTGAGACAAGGAACTTTATTTAAAAAAGTATATGGTTACTCATATTGGTTAGAAGCCTCAACAGAGGCCATCAGCAAGAAAGGAGAGGCTTTAGAATTTACAATTGGAAACAATTTTACCAAAGACCTTGACAGCTGGCTTCAAGCACCTTCATGAAAGTTATCACAGTTGTTTATTCCTTGGAGGCTGCACCCAAGGATGGCGAAAGGACCTCCTTTCCTTTACTAGTGGGTGTCTATACTTATGGGAAAGTAGGACCTCCAAAGTCCCTGCCATGTTTATAGGGACAATGTTCAAAACTACATTGTCCTCTCTTGGAAAGGGGTGTTGAGAATGCTCAGAAAATTCTACCTAATAGGGCATATAGCTGGTTTGCCCAGAACTGAGGGGAGTTGCTAGGATGTGAGACTTTTTGGTGCTAAAAGTGGAAAAGTTCTGGGCAAAATGGGGGTGAATTGGTCACTTTACATACCCCTTATACTCCCTACACAAGAGTGCCCCAAAATGAGTCAATTGCTCCAGCCTGATACACTGTGAAAGAATAATGTTAAAGAATAATGTTAATTATTTTTCTAGAAGAATATATTATTCAAAAAGAGAAGACAAAGTTAAAATTTTGGTCTTAAACCAAACTGAAGTCCTCTTGAAAACACGAAGCCAACAGTTGTTCTAATATGTGGCAAACATTAAAACAAAGTCTTGTCCAAGATCTGAGTGTCTGCGTCTATCTTTGTGAAAAAGCATCCCCAAAGTAGTTACTAGTTTGTAGAATAGCAAATACAGGCTGGTTTTGCTCATGGCACAGAACTGTGCATATGTTTCTCACCTGATGAATTTATGAGCCAACTGTTCCACAAAGTAATAGATCTCATTCCAGTGGTGCAGCACGCTTCCTGACCTAGGAAAACAAAAGCAGGCTTCACTTAATCAGGTATTCATTTGTCTTTACCTTTTATCATTTCTCGTCATATTCCATTAATTGACATTTGACCTATTCATTAAATGGACTCATTCATTATCTGAAACTTCTATAAATCTGGAAATTATCTGAAATGATGTTTAGAATTAATGTTAGTGTTCTTAAAATTTTTGTTAAAGAACTGTCTTTACTCCACTTCCCATGCCTTCCTACTTGAATGCCATACACTCACACATTAAAAAAACAAATAAACAAACATACAAAAAAACCCTGGGCTCAACCAGACTCACAGGTTAATTTTTAACCTTTAAGAAACTGTTATTTTTTGTGCTATTTAAATTATTCCTTTGATAAGTGAAGAAGAACAACTCCAACTCATTTAAATGAAATGAGCACAAACTGGACGCCCAAACAGACAAAAATAAACAAATCCTCCTCCTCAAAAAAAAAGTCCAATTTCATTTGTAAATATAGAGACAAAATCTCTAAAGAAAATATTAGCAAAATGAATCCGATAGGAACAAAAAAATAATGAATTAATCGGCAAAGGTTATTTCAAGACTATATTGATAGTTCAACATGTAAGGAAATCTAATGTAACTAGTCATTCTAATAAATAAGAGAGGAAAAACTACACAGGTTTTTGTTTATTAAAAAGGAAATCCCTTAGTGGAAAAAGAGGGAAATATTCTCTAGGTCACATGGAATTACATAATTTTAGATTTGAAAGGGGCTTCTTTATTTCCCAAAGTTGACTTCTGTTTTCCTGGTACTATTTATTATGGCTTTAATTTAGCTTATAAATATTTCCATAATGTTCATACTCAGTTTGTTGCAGTGACTTTATAGGAAGCTTTTCTATTCTAACCTGCTCTTTTCTGTAGCTATGATGCCTCTTTCCTTTCCTTACAGATCTGTTTCATCTGAGCTCTCCGTTTCTGCCTGTCATTCTAATCATTATTGAGGTTAGAGTTTGCTCCTTTTAGTCTGACATTTTCTACTGCAAACATTTTCCACTGGTTTCAGATTTACTTTTATTTTTTCATACACTCATTTACCTTCATTTTAACTTCTAGAGAGTTATTTGTGGCTATTTTTCTTTGTTGCAGACTATTTTATAGACATTTAAGACAAATCTGTGCAAAGTAGACTTTACGTCTTCCTTTTCATGGTATGACATCCTTAAGAATTCTCACTGAGTGCATTCTTGCCCTCTGAGGGGAATGTATTGTTCTCTGCCCCCTACCTAAACAGATATGTTGGTTCAATTTGAACACAAATGACACAGTATGTTATGATCCTACAGTGAAAGACTTCATATAAGGATATATCACTTTACCCAAGTTAATTTATAACTTCAATTCCAGGAAAAATTCTGATTGGATGGATGTTTTACAAAGCTCAAAAACCGACTTTAAAAATAAGGAGAAGATTAAATATTTAAAAGTCATCAGGGCAATTATGATTGAGCAAAATTGGAAGGCTTTCCCTAGCGGACATAATGACCCCACATGTGTGATACATGACATAACAGCAAAACCAATGGGGTAAAATAGAGACCCTAGATCTGAAACTATGTGAGCTCATGCTATATAGTGAAATAGGTGATTCAAACTGAGGAGAAAGAACAAATGCTTCAATGAATGATGCTCTGACAATGGATTTCTAATTGGAAAAAGCTCATTCAATCACAGACTCATACCATATGTAACCCTGGGTTACTAACGCCTAATGGGAATGACTTAAAATCCACTGGATGAACTATATAAGATTTTTATGTTGTTAGGTTACTGAAGCATTTCTTCAATCAGATACAGAAAGTAGGAATTGTTTTTTTAGAAAAAGGATAACTTTCACTTCCCAAAGTATCTAAAATTCTGAATTTTAGAAAGAGCAAGAAATTGGAAATCTATTCGAAAGAATAATGAAAGAAAACTTTACTAATTTGGTGAAGGAAAGAGACATGCAAGCCCAGGAAGCACAGAGAGCCCACAAGATGGATGCAAAGAGGCCCGCTCCAAGACACCTCATAATTAAAATACCAAAGTTTAAAGATAAAGAGAGAATCTTAAGAGCAGCAAGAGAAAACCAGTTAGTTACCAGAAGCTGCCATAGGACTGTCAACTGACTTCCCAAAGGAAATTTTGCAGGCTAGAAAGCATTGGCAAAACATATTCAAATTCAAGAAAAGCAGGGACCTACAACCAAGGTTGTTATACTCAGCAAAGCAATCATTTAGAATTGAAGGGCAGATAAAGAGCTTCTCAGACAAGAAAAAAACTAAAGGAGTTCATCATCACCAAACTGTTATTATATGAAATGTTAAAGGGACTTCTTTAAGAAAAAGGTTGCCAAATGGAAGGTAGATGTTGGGGAATAGGTGAAGAGGTGAGAGGATTAAGAGGTACAAATTGGTAGCTACAAAATAGCCATGGGGATGTAAATTATAGTATAGGAACTAGAGTAGCCAAAGAACTTACACACATGTCCCATGTACATGAACAATGGTGTGGAGATTGCCTGAGGGTTTTGGGGGTGCCGGGTGGACAGAGGCACAGGGGGAAAAATTGGGACAACTCTAATAGCATAATGAATAAAATATCATTTTTTAAGAAAGAAGAGCACTGAGAGGAGAAGCCTCTATTACTCATGGAAGCGCCTGATTTTTTGCCAGCTGGACATCACCTCTTCCTTCCTAATTTGGTTAAATACTCTGGGGTTAGGCTCAGATGGCTCCAGCCAATTCCTGTGACCCTATGTGAACCCGAAGAGCCTTCGCAACTGGGTCCATGATTCTAGAGCACTGCTCCAGTGCTCAGCCGGAAGACTCCCAAGGGGTTACTAGAACTGTATATCTTACCCCTGGGCTTTTAATGCTTTGGAAACCCTCATTCATTACAATCCCAGTCATCATCCTGGACAGGATTTAGTTGTATCCTTTGAATCTCAAAGGCTGGTCCTGGCTGCTCTCCTTCAGGAGTGGGGTCGGTACCCTGGTCCTGGGGTCCAGCGATGACGGCCCAATGCTGTGTGAGTGCCTCAGGGGAGGCACCACATGACCGACGGACTGTAAGTCATGGTCCCATCCAGAATTCTGTTATTCTTTTCCGCTGGAATCAAGAGTTCCTTGGACACTGGTCATCTGTGCCTCTGCCCACTCCTGAAATGCTATGTTGTGCTTTGGTCCATATATCCAGGAAAAGTACTATCTGAAAGTTTGGTTACTAAGAGGGACTGTAAGATGCCTAGTGATTCGAAAAGAATCCTCACACTGACCCCATCTTGAGTTTGATTTCTTCATCAGCAAAGAAGTTGTGCAGTGAGGGAATTATACTGGCAGGGGAGGCAAAGTGTTTGTGAAATAGGGACTTGAATTAGAATTTAGGGACTATTCTTGGCTCTCTGCTCAAGGAGCAGGGGTTTGAAGTAAATCTTTGGTTAACTTCTTTGTTCTCAAGGATTGGCTCAATTTCACAGCCACAAATCAATTTGCATTCCTTTATTTATTGAATAAGATCACCTGATGATAATTCACATTTTTTTGTCTTAAAAAATTTCACTTTCACTATTCTTGTTACTAATGTAAAATTTACACAGTTTTGGTATTCATCTAATCTGTTATGCTAGCTATACAGAAATATCCGAGAAATATCATACGGTGTTGAGAAAAGTTCAGGTCTATCTAGAAAACGTTCTTGTTAATAGGCAGGTGCAGTCATTGCCCAATAAGAAAATAAAATGAGGTCTCCCAGATAAAACTGGAAGTGAGGAGGTGTTGGCTGGCTTATTTCTCCCATGCCAACTCTCAAAATAATTGCCCTGTTACTGTTAAGATTGCTGTTTCATATTTACACATGATCACTCTTTGCACAATTATGTAAGCCTCGGCCAAAATATACCCCCTGTGGGACACACTTGAGATGTACATAGCCTGTTCCCTCAAGCATTGAGGGTAAATATAATCTCCTAAGATCCTGGGAAGCAAACTGGCTTTCTCTTCTCTGGGTTACCATGACATCCCAAGGGGCCTCAGATACAGAAGGGGCAGAATATAGGGTTATCTAGATCTGCACTTTGGAATCCTTCTAGTCATTATTACTGAGCCTCCTTAACCCATACATGCATGTTCTGTCCTACCCCAAGATCCAATCACCCCATGGAAAAGAGCTCTCACAGGAGTCCTGCTTATATCTCTTTAACCCAAATCCCCTGGAGTAAAAGGCTTGCCTGCTTGATGCCACAGTCCTCTCCACTGCTTCACCACCACCCAGTGGCCAGAGCTGGACCTTTTCACTCTGAAGTCTGAGGACTTCATCCACGGGGCCCCTGGCACCCATCCACTGGCACCTCAGTCAGGCTCCACCCCTTCTCCCACATGGATAGCTAGGCTGAGCCTTTGACTCACTCTGGACTTCCTGTGAAAATATGCATGCTTTGCCGGCACATTGCCTTATAAACTGATTTTCTGGTTTGAAATCTGGCCTAGTAGCTACTCCCAGAATCATCGACCCAGGTAGGTGAGCCCACGTTCAGACCTTTGGCTTCCTCTCAACCCTGAGGACCTAAATGGACTCCTGGTCACAGCCGGAAGTAGAGTGCCGGTTGGGGGATCCAATTCCCGCATCTCTCTACACTATATTGTGTAAAATATCTAAATTATCACGCTAACCAGTTTAAGACTTAATGATTTTAAAACTCTATCTGTGGAATCCTGATGTTCTCTTCAGGCAGCAATGGCTCTTCCTGCCACAGTGACTGGAGCTCCAAGGGAAAAATACAAAACTCCTTCACAGCCCAAATGTAAGTAGTATTGGGCTATGTACTCCATTGGACTGTGTTGCGGATTGTTGTTTTTAGAATTGCTTTTAAAGCACAATTGCTAGGCAAATGATAGTCACAGAGAGTTGAAATGCCCCATGTTTTGGAAATCAGTGGATGTGAAAGCTCCCTGATATTTGACTCAATTAAATCCTAATTCA